GAACTAATAGAAATCAGTAGCGCAATTACCTTACTATCTTGTGTATGTAAACATATCTTTTCCGTCCCCTTCCTTCTTTTTTCTTTTTCCCATTCCAGTCATTTTCCCTTTTGAGCAGTTTCTTTCCTTTTCACTATATCTATTGTACCTTTTGGACCTGGGTCTTGAATTGTTTTAAATGCCATTTTTTTTTGTTGTTAAACCAGTATGTGACTAGAGGTACACTTGGAATTTGATATAATTTCCTTTGTGGAAAGATTATCTTTGATACATTAGAATACATATTAAATCATCTGTATGTTCAAGCTTTTTCCAAGTTTGTTGTATTTTTTCAATCTTCACTATCAATGAAACCGAGTAACGCTCTTTGTTAAGGCAGCATTACTTGTTCAGTGCACTATAAATGCTCCTCCAGACTGTTTAGCTTTGTTTTCTTCATGGACTGCTGAGAGGTGCTCTTTCTCAACTCACTGTATGGATTTTATAGTCTCTATTGTAGAATTTCATGCCTGCAAAGCATCCACATTAGATTATCAGTGGTGCATAGATTTGAGTTTCAATTCTAAATGGTGAATAAATTATCTTTCTAAAGAAATAGACATCCAAGTAGCATCTGAAGACATGTTAAAGTGTTGTGAAATAAACTGGAAAGATGGCCTCTCTGGGATGGAGTAAGAGATTTTCAATCAAGTACCCACATTAGCAAAGAGCGCTGCAGTGAGTGATTGCCATGCACTGTCTTAGATGCATCCTTCTTGTGCTCTCATGAGTAATATTAGCACCAGACTGAAACTGACAGCACAAGATGATCTGAGATATAGTCAGACAAATTGTAGATGTGCTCTCAGCAAATGGGACAGGCATTCCAAGCAGAGTTCAGCAAGCACAGTGTGTGTGAGCAGCAAGGCCAGGCTGACCTACAGTTGGTTCTGTGTGACTGATGTTTGAGTTGGACGTCTGTGATGATTTCTGATTGTAGTCCTGCATTTACAAGGACAGGCAGAAACTCTAGTGATGGTGTGTAAAGGAGGAGCGCCATTGATCCGCAGACCTCGGCAAAGCAGCAGAAAGCGGAAGAATGCGGAGTGAGCTGCAGATCCTCCTGAGCACACAGCAGACTTTGCATAACGGCAAACCAAGGCTAGATTTTTTGGAAGGGGTCAGAGATGGAGGAAGAGAGGAGGGAGAGGAGCAGCTGGGGACATAAAAAGAAATAAGATGTTTTATGTGCATATACCCATTCCCCACAATGAATGTAATCATAATGTACAGCAAACACTATTTTTTTTTAAAGGAGGCTACGGAGCTAGATGTCTGAACGATCGGATCGATACAGAAGATGCAGTGCAGTTACCACCCGCAAGGAGAGCGAGACCAGCACGTGAGAGCCGAGGCCTCGCTCCCCTTCTGTCTTGCCTCTCTGAGCTGGAAGACAGTCTGTCACCGCCGCACGCCTGTGCGTCAGACGCTCCCTGTACTGTGTTCACTCTTGTTCCTCTCGGCCTTACCGCATTGACTCTGCACTTCTGCCTTCCTGAGACTGCGCGCCCTTCAAACATTTTGGCATAAGGAATTTGGCTCTGTTTTGTTTTCTAGGGAAAATAGGCTATGGAGATCACTATTACTTGAAAAGACAGTGGAAAAAAAATAAAGAAAAAAAATATTTTTTAAATCAGCATTTTGATACTACGGTCACTTCCTTAATGCAATTAAACATACTGCAAAAGACAGAGAAATTCCTAATTCAAACTTCATTTAACATTTTACACCAAAAATGCTTTGGGGCTTGTATCTTGATTAACAGGTTTTCCAAGAGCCCAAAACACTCAAGATACACTTTGTGCGTTTAACTAGGTTCCTTCGAGCAGCAGCCCAAGGGTGGAGATGTATAACCTTCCCTGAGATATCAAAGAACAACAATAAAAGCAAACATTTAGACAATGATTAAGTGTTAAGGTAAAATACCTTACATCTACAAGTTTTTCTGTCTCTACCTCTTGATCTAACAAGGTAAGTAATTATACATAGAAAGTGGATGTAGTATATCTTATATTGAAATAATAAAATATGTTAAAAATATAAAAGACAAACATAGCACATGTTGCTAGTGGCTTTTGTGTTCTCTGAGCAGGTTGCTTATGTAAGGATCTATGGATGGAAAGTGAGACTGGGAGGAAATGAAGATCACTTGTAGTGCTTTTCTTGCGCATATAAACCTTTTCAGCTGTGTGTGCAATTTAAATGTGCAGCAGAATTTCTGTGTTATGCCCTTGGATAATTCTTTTTCACCAACACTTCCGTGTGGCTTTAACCTCAGTCCTTGTCATGACAAATTAGATATGGATGCAGAACACAGCCACCCAAGGGAGGCCACCAAGATACGCCCTGCTATTATGTCAACGAACGGATAAGAAACTGGGTGTTTTATCTACCGACTGCCCATCTGCCACCGAGTGCTGTTTCCAGAGCCTTTAACTTCCTTGCTTTGCACCAGGCTCAGAGTGTTCCCGCCAGCAGCAGCAGCTGTGTCAACAGATGTCCAGCTCCTCAGACCTCATCACCCTATCATTCAGGGGGTGCGCTCTGTTTCCATGTCTGAGGGCTTTTTATGAGCTCCTGAGATTGGGTCTCCTGCCAATCACTGCAGGCTGGAATTGCCAGAAAGTTGGCACCATGAAATACCCCCTGCATTAAACCCCTTGAATGATAACTCTTGGGAACTACCGGAAGTACCTCTTCCTCTTGGTGGAGTAATTCTAAAATGCAGAGGTATTTCTTTACATCAGTGCTACTCAAAATATGTTTTGTTGTCTGTGTGAAAACTTTGTAGTCTGCACTGGAGGACATCACTGTCTTTGGTTCACTGGCAAATAATGTAACCCTATTGGCACAGGAACTTTACTTTTATCCTCACCTATTTGCTCTCCATCATGTATCTGGACTCAAGTTTAGCCATAGCCTTATACATATACATGCTTGTAGCAGACATTTCTAACTCAAATTCATCTTTTAACTTTTTGTCTTCATGGGAATTAGCTTTCTAATGCTGGGTTCCAAAGAGTTACCTAGAGGTAATATTTACTCCTTTGACATAACATTTCGTGCACAGTGCTAAAAGCACTTCATGCTCAGTTAACACTATATTCCCTTCCTTTCTCAAACGATGTACAACGAGGATATTTGTGACAGTAAATTAAAGGTTGTATTGTGATGAATAAAGCTAGAGCTATGAAACTAGACCTTCTAGGTGAAAATTCTTTCTCCATAACCTACCAGACAGATAATCTTGGGAAGTTCAGTTAACCATGTTTTTCAGCCACTTCCCTATCTGGAAACTGGGATAAATATAGTGTCTAACTTGTAGCATTGTGAGGGTTAAATAATTTAATGCCATAAAGTGCTTAGAAAAGTATCCAACTCAGAATACTGTTCACTCTCTCTCTCTCCATATATATCTATGATTATTTATATATATACATATGTGTATAAATTCTTTATATATCATTATATAATCGCTATATAATTTTAACATGTACTTATGTAATATATTTACACATCACATATTATGTATAAAATTATATAGACATCATTTTAAACTATTACTTTAGATTTTTCCTCCTACTGTTTTCTTCAGAGAATAAGAGTGCCTCTCCTTCGATTGCTTTGTTCTTTAATGCTTTAGTTCAAAATTTACCCACCTGGTCTGGGACATTTTTCTTCCCATCATTCACCTTTCCATTTACTTTAAGAAGTTAGTTAGTCCTTCCAGACAATAGCACAATGAGTAAGATGTCAACGCTTTCACAAATGTCCTTCTTACACGATCATCTAAGTAATTTTCGGACTTCGTTCATCTACATGTTTCCCAGATTGGCATCAGATCTCAGGGGTGTTTGCTCTGTAGATGTACAGATTCCTGAGTCATATCCCACATCAACTGAGTCAGAATCTCTGGGAAACAGGACTCTGACCTGAATTTAATAAGGTGCCTGAGGAATTTTCATGATGCTGCTTATCATCCTTTCTGCCATGGAGATTTGCACTGGTCTTTCAGGAATGGATCCCAATGTCTGCCTCTATTAGTTCATTCAATTTCCTAAATGTCCTCAGTTCTGCTATTGTAAGTTATCTCTTGTCACTAGAATGTTTCAGGCTGAGCACTGTAAAGGAAAGGAAAGCAGATACAGTACTTGCTATATCATTCATTTGCTCCTGGAAGGAGAGCTGCAGAAAATCTTATTTTGATGGTTCTGCACTGAATCGTAACTATGAATAGCGGGGCTCCTATAGGCCTCTTAGGTATGGAGTACTAAAAGGCACTACTGATTCTTGGCAGCCTGAGTGGTGGCCAAATTCTGCCATTCTCCTGGCCTCTAAAGCTGTGGAAAGTGATTTTAGACCTTCAGGTGGAGGAGAATTATCCACCCTTTTTACACAATTATATTACTCTTTTTTTCTTTTTCTTTTTCTAGTTTTGAGACAGGACTTCACTGTGTAGTTCAGGGTGGCCTTGAATTCACAGTGATCCTCCTGACTTAGCCTTCTAAGTGCTGGGCTTGCAGATATGTCCAACCACGCCAGGCACAAATATATATCTTTAAAATATTTGCTTTTGTCAGGATGTGGTGGCATGGTCTGGGAAGTTAAGGTAGGCAGGCATAAGTTTTAGATTGGCTTGGCTCTTTAGCAATTTAACAAGAACCTGTCTAAAGCCAAAAAAAGAAAAGATAACAAGGGCCTGGGGATGTTGGGATGTCACTTAGTGTGAAGGCCGTAGGTTCAATCTCTAGTACAGAAAAAAAAATTCTTGTATTGACAGCACTAGAATTTACAATGTACATTCACTATGAGTTCAAATGCATTCTCAAACAATGCTAGAATTATACACAGCCAAACAATACAGTCATCCAATTTGTTATTTTTATTATTTGGAAGAGTTTTCTTTTATATCATAAGAGAATGAGAAAAAAATATTTCCCTTTTGTTTATGGCTTGTCTGACGATCTTTTTTTCTGTGAGTAGCTGAGTTTCTGAATGCAATATTTTATGTCTCCCTGAAGAACTTTTTAAAAATAAAATTTATTTTTAGACCAGTTTTAGGTTCACAGCAAAATAGAGCAGAAAATACAAAGAATTCCCATATACTCTCTCCTCTCACACACGCATAGCCTCCCACAGTCACCACCCTGCCTCCGAGGGGCACACTGTTATGATTGACGAGCTTTCATTGACACAGCAATGTCACCACAGGTCTGTAATTTACCTTACAGTTCATTCTGGGGTGGGATATTTTATGGATTTTGACAATTGTGTAATTATAGGTGTCTACCATGACAGTGTGATAAGAATAGTTTCGCTGCCCTAAAAATCTTCTGTGCTCTACCTATAGAGCTCCCCTTCACCTTAGTCCCTGGCTGCTGCTAATTTTTTTTAATCGGTTACCCCCAGAATGTCATAGACACATGCAATATGTAGCATTTATGATTAATTTCCTTCACTTAGTAATATAAAATTCTTGCCTATCTTTTTGTGGCTAGATAGCTTGTTTCATTTTAGTCTTGAGTATAAGTCCACTATCTAGATATGCCAGTTTATTTATCCATGTTTCTTCTGAAGACCATCTTGGTTATGTGTAAGTTTAAGAATTATAAATAAAGCTGCTATAAATATCTATGTGCAAACGTCTTCACAACTTGGTGTAATTGGGCATAGCAAATGGCAAGCGGTAGGGAATGGCCAGAGGTGTGTTAGAAAGCATAAGAGAAAAGCTCTTCACTGATCAGAGAGAGTTGGTCTGTAAGAAGGACACTGTAGATGTTTAGGTCCACTGGCTTTTTATACAGTTTTTGGTACCGGTGTATGTGCCAGGAAGCAAGGTTTCTCCTGGTTGCAGGTAGATCTTTCCAGTCTGGAAAACAAGCTGCTTCATTTGCATTTCCCTTCTAGGTCTCTCTGGTTTGGATAACCTAGCAATACACATAAAAAGTAACTATATTACCTTAGACAAAAGCGAAACAAAACAACACCCCCAACACACACACACACACACACACACACACACACACACACACATGCACACACAGAGGAAATACTGTGACCCTATCTCTACCCATACTAGCAAAGGCAATTGAAAAATTAGGGGCAACTTCTACCTAGATTTTAATCCTTTGAAGGTGGAATCAGGGTGCCTCACCACTTCCCCTGGGCTGGCACCACGAAATGTCATCCTGACCCAGTAATAATGAGGCTCTTCTTTCTTTCCTGAGGTGCCAGAGGATCTGGTAGAAGCTTGGACTTCCACTGTCACCTGGCAATAATGAGATTCCTTCATCCTCTTGTGGGTGTGGTGTTAGAGAAGGCCTGGAGAAGATAAGTATTTCCATTGCTTCCCAGCAGTGGGGTGGCTGTACCTCTCCCACAGAGTCTGTGCAGATCAACTGTGGATCATTAATGAAGCTCTCTAACCCATCGTGGACAGGGAGATGTGAGTGGAGGCCTGGACAGACGACTCACACACACACTCAGCAATGCCTAAGAGCTCACCTCTACCGTGTGTTGACGGAAGTGTGCAGGGAGCCTGGGCTTCTGTCTTAACTTGGCAGTAACAGAGAGTTGCTCCCTCTTTCCCATGCCAGACTGGTATCAGAGAGAGCCAGCCAGTCCGAAAGCTTCAGATCTATGACCTAATAACAAAATATGAAAATGTCTGTTTCCATAAAATAAAATCAAATAAATAAAATCAAATAAATCAACCATCATATCAAAAACCAGAGGAGTAAATGAAAAAAGACAATGAGTGCTGACACTGATATAATGGATATGTGAAGCTATTTGCAGAGTTCAAAGCTGCTTTCATAAAAATGCATCAATGAATAATTACAGACACACATGAAACAAATAAAAAATAGAAAATTTCTGCATAGGCAAAGCAGATACAAAAACCACCAAAGGGGTATTCTCGACTGAAGAATGCAGTAACAGAGTCAGGTGCAGCGGTGTGCACCCTTAGTCCCTGCTAATGGGAAGACTGAGGCAGGAGGATCAACTGGACCCTGGAGTTTGAGACCAGCTTCAGCAGCACAATGAGACGCCATTTCAAAAACAAACAGACAAACAAACAAAGTAGGCTAAAAACAAAATATACAGTGCAAGAAATAAAAACTAAATGGGTGGCCAGGATATAGCTCAGCGACACAGCACCTGCCTGGCAAGCGCTACATCCTGAGTTCGATTCCCAGTACCAAAAAAAAAAAAAGCACAAAAACAAAAACAAAAACAAAATCCAACCAAATGTGTGGGCTAAACAGCAGAATGGGGGGGGGTAGAAGAAAGACTCAGGGAAGATAGAATGATAAAAACCACAAATCTGCAGAACAAACATGGGGCTGGAAAAATGAGGGAGAGGAGAGAAGGGGAAGAAGATGAAGAACGCACTGAGATGTGTTGTGTTCATGTACCAAGTCCCCGTGAGGAACGTGCTCATCTGTACTGCGAATATGTACTAACAAAAATAAGGACACTGCTTCAGGGACCTGTGGGACGAGAAGAAAATAATTATTGAAAGCTACATACTATATAGATAGAAAAACTAGGGACTGGTAAAAAGACCAGGAGTGCTAGAGGCTGTGAGAGACAGTGCAGATGAAGAGATAAAAACGCAAGCTATGCGTGGTGGCATAAGGGTGACCCTAGCACACTGGGAGGCTCAAGCAAGAGGAGCCCAGACTGAGCAATGTAGCAACTGACTAAAAGCAGAGGAGGCTGGAATATACCTCAGGTGAATGTCCTACGTTTGTTCATTTCCCAGTACTACAGACAAATGCATAGATAGAGAATATTTAAGGCAGTGACGCTGTTATTACTCTGCATGGTACAATAAGATACATTTCTCCAAACCTGGAGAATGTGGAATACTGAGTGAATTATGTCAAGTAAGGACTTTGAGTGAAAATGATCTGTCAATGTAGCTTCAACAATATCTTTTGTCTTTTTTGAGAGAGAATTTCATTGTGCAGCTCAGGCTGGCCTTGAACTCACTTTGTATCCCAGATTGGCCTTGAGCTCACAGTGATCCTCCTGCCTCAGCCTCCCGAGTGCTGAGATTACAAGTGTGTACCACCACACCTGGCTAGGGTCACCAGTTGTAACCAAACCAACATACCCTCTACCCCTGTGCGTGGTTGTACATGTGTGTATGTGTGGGGTGGAGGAGTAGTAGGGGAACTCTGTAGCTGCTGCTCATGTTTTCTGCTTGTCAAAAATCCTGTAAAATATTGAAATCCATGCCCCCAGTATCATGCTGTCTATAAAATCTCACAGAAAATATGACAATGTGGGGCTATAAGGAGTTTGAAAATAAAAGAAAAAGTACATGTTGGAAACATTATGAAATAGAGCAATAGCTCTATACTCCTGTCGAGTAAGGTGGGCTGTGGAGCACAGTAAGGTACCTGAGACAGAGGGGCGTTCCGTGATAAAGGGTTCATCTAGAAGGCTTGGACTTTTCATTTGAAAGGGCTCTGGGCAGCAAACTAAATGTAGCTGCTAGATGAGTAGTAGTTTGTCAAGGTAAATAATCTGAACTGAACAGCTGTAATACATACCAAACTCCCAACTTTCCACTAACAAAATTCTCAATTGACAAAACAAATAAATACTTCTTTTCCTTAACACAACTGAAAAAATCCCAGCAGTGTGTCATGTGCAAGGCTAGTCTGCCTCCAGCTACAGCTAGTGCACCATGTCGCTTTTGTCATCCATCCCTCACTCTTTGAGTTCTTCCTCGTTTGGAAAGTGTTCCTGCTTGCAGGCCACGTCCACCAGCAGATGAAGGTCAGGGGACTTTCCTCGTTGTGAGCTGCTTCTCCAATCTCAGTATCTGGCTGGAGTGGGTAAACCTGTATCTTGACTAGGCTTGCTAGCAGGCCCCGTTTCTGAAATGAGGAATCCCGTGTGTTCTGAAGGCAAGGTATTCTCAGGTGAATTGGTCTGGCATTTTATACTGGAACCCATCTGCTGTGCTCTGTACGGTAGCCCTTCTTGTGTAAATACTACTGCAGATGGAGATGGATTAAGGCTTAGCATCTACAGGAGGCCACATCCACGGTGCTGGAGCACGTGTGGAGCACAGTGCTGAGCTGTCTTGCCCCTGACATCCACAGCGCTCCAGTGGGGGGTTCAGTCTCTGTTTCAAGCACGGTGTTAACCTCGTAGAGAAGATTGTATGAGAAACAAAGACATGAGAGGTCATCAGGATCACAGGTCTAAATGGGCCAGGAACTCCAGGGAAGAAACTCTGGGGAAGAGTTAATTTTCCAAGTGATTAACCAGGAAATTCTCTTACTTCCTAACCCAGCAATCTGTTTCAAGGGCAAGGCACCCAGATTTGGACCATCCATCACACTTAAGAGCCCCTGATTCTTTTATATTAATGAGATCATTTTTCTGTTTTCATATCTTTCTTTAATTTTAATAATACATTATCATAAAT